AGAGCCTCAAGCTGTCGCCCTGGGTAGAGTGCTATGGCATCACAGCTCACAGTAACCTCCAACTCCTGGGCTTAAGCGATTCTCTTGCCTCAGCCTCCCAAATAGCTAGGACTACAGATGCCTGTCACAACGCCTGGCTATTTTTTTGGTTGTAGTTGTCATTGCTGTTTGGCAGGCCTGGGCTGGATTGGAACCCGCCAGCTCTGGTATATGTGGCTGGTGCCTTAGCTGCTTGAGCTACAGGCACCTGAGCCCTTAATTTGCATTTCTTTAGAACAGTGGTTCTCAAACTTGAATTGTCCTAGAAATTAAGAGAGATTTTTAAAGTATTTATTTATAGGCCATGGCTGTAATCCCACTCTGGAAAGCCGAGGAGGGTGTTTTGCCTGAGCTCGCAGGTTCTAGACCAGTCTGAGCAAGAGCGAGACTGTCTCTAAAAACAGCTGGTTGCCTTTAGTCCCAGCTACTTGGGAGGCTGAGACAAAAGGATCAATGGAGCCCCAAGAGTTGGAGGTTGCTGTGAGCTATGACACCAGGCACTCTGCCAAGAGTGACAAAGTGAGAATCTGTCTCTAAAAAAAACAATTATTTGAGAAATAATATCACATGTTAATGAACTATACTTTTATGTAAAAATAACAATGTTTCTCCCCCAAATTTTAGGGCAGAAGTTGCATTGTTTTACATGTCAGCAATCTCTTTCCTCTCTGTCTGAATAGAAGACAGATTTTCACATCTACTTCTGCATTCAGTCTTTTACCATATCACATGTCAGATAGCCCCTGGAAAATAGCCACTCATACTCATGAGTGATAATGAAAAAGAGAGTAACAAGCTTAGTATTGTTAGGAAAATGCTTTTGACTATACCCCTAAAAGAGTGTCCCCCAGATCCCACTTTGAGAACCACTGATGAAGAATAATGTTTTTCTTAAGGAAGTGTATGCTCTTTGTGGAGAAACTTTAAACATATAAAAAATGTTGTAAAAGAAAAGAAAACTGCCCATCACATCATAATCCTGTGTGTTTCTGTTTGAATAATAAATCTTAGTTAGCAACTGACTGATGGTTTGGATTCAAGGTGGGTTGGGCAGATATAAATGGCCTTTGGGTTTTGAATGGGGACAAGGACAATCTGATAACCCACAAAGCTGATGCCGGTTCCTGGTTGCAGGCGGAGTTGACCTGGAAACCTCTCCTTGGCCACTGTCCTTTCTAAGGAATTCATTTCCAGAGCCCACCTGCACAGAACTGGTGGGGGACCCTGCTAGGAGCAGAGAAAATGGCCATCTTCAGGCAGCTGTCCCTAGGTGTGAAGGCCGCCCTGGCTGCCATCACTGTCTTCGTGTCCATGATCGTCTCCCGCTCCTATCTGGCAGAGAGCCTTGAGCTCAGGGCCTGGCGTTGGCTGTTTCGCCTGCAGCTCGCCCTGTTTGCCAATTCACTCATGCTCATTGGCTCTGTGTACATCTGGCGCAGCACGGTGGGCAACCTCTGCCACTCCCCAGCTGCGAAGTCGACCTGTTTTCAGCTCTGGAAGGTGGCTGTTCTGGGATTTCTGGCCCTGGCCCATTCCAGTTTCTTCACCATGCTCTTCTTAGTGGCTGAAGAGCCCTATCTCTTTTCCTTGGCAGCCTACTCCTGCCTGGGCGCTTATGTCATCATGGTCTTCTTCCTCTGCATCCTCAGCGGCATGGAGCAAGCCTGTCAGCTCTTGGCCTGGCGCAGTGGTAGGGTCGTGAGCAGTCTTGACAAGACAAGGACGCTGGTGCTCAGGCCCGCCCTGGCTGTTGTAGTGACCACCGTGCTCAGTGTGGCAGGGCTTCTGAATGCTGCCCAGCCCCCAGCTGTGAGAACCGTGGAGGTGCCCATCAATCAGCTGCCCCCGTCTATGAACAACCTCAAGATAGTGCTCCTCTCAGACATCCACTTGGGCCCCACAGTGGGCAGGACAAAGATGGAGATGTTTGTGAGGATGGTGAATGTGCTGGCGCCAGATGTCACAGTGATCGTGGGTGACCTCTCTGATTCAGAAGCATCGGTCCTGCGGACAGCTGTTGCTCCTTTGGGCCAGCTCCATTCACGCCTCGGCACCTACTTCGTCACAGGCAATCACGAGTACTACACCTCGGATGTCAGCAACTGGTTTGCATTGTTGGAATCCCTGCATGTCCAGCCTCTTCACAACGAGAATGTGAAGATTTCTGCCACAGGTGCCCAAAGTGGTGGTTCTGGTGGTGGTGAAGACAACAACTGGATCTGCTTGGCTGGGGTGGACGATATTGAAGCAGACATCCTGCACTACTCTGGCCATGGCATGGATCTTGTCAAAGCCCTGAAGGGCTGCAGCCCAGACCACACCATCATCCTGCTAGCTCACCAGCCTCTGGCTGCCAAGAGAGCCCTCCAGGCTCGGCCAGACATTAACCTGATCCTTTCTGGGCACACGCATGCTGGGCAAATCTTCCCCTTGAATGTGGCAGCCTATCTCCTGAATCCCTTCTTTGCTGGTCTCTACCAAGTGGCCCAGGAAACATTTGTGTATGTCAGCCCAGGCACAGCCTATTATGGGATACCCATGAGGTTGGGTAGCAGGGCAGAGATTACGCAGCTCATCCTGCAGCGGGCTCCCTGACCAGTGCCTCCATGTGCCCCTCTGTCCTTTCCTTGCTCTCCATTGTGTCCTGCTTCAGAGTGGCTTGCCTGCTTTACCCCTCCAGCCTCCTGCCCAGCTCTGCCAGTGTACTCTTGGACATGAGTGTGACTTGAATGGTAATTTGTGGTGGGGCTGCCTGGCAAGTTCAGACTGGTTTAACTATAAATGGCTAATTGCTTTTTTCTGTGCACTTGTGAGGTCACTAAGATCACGTATATGAGAGCTCACATCTGTTTTCCAGGTGATGCACCCTCCTTCTGCAGAGCTCAGGGATGAACTGCAACATGGGATTGCTAGAAAGGGACACCTGTAGAAAGCAGAGCCAGGAAAGAGCGGGAGCATTTTCCTCTTAGTGTTGTTAAACACTATTTAGAACATAGATGGGCCAGAATCATTGATCCTGATCCTTTATTGGTAAGGGACAGTGTTGCTAGGTAATTTGGGAAAACAGATAAGAGAGAAGTCCCCTTTGATTGTATCGAGTCACCTTTATTGAGGGTATGGGTAAAACCCAGTAGAATGCAAGTCTTCTCCTATTCCAGGCCTTGAGGGATGCTGTTTAACTGTGCTTTCGGGCCTTTGGGGGTGGGGGTGGGATGAGGAGAAGAAATCGCCCCACTGCTGCTGCTGCTGTTTCGGAGTGCCCAGGGTTTTGCCTCCCTCGTCTCATTTTATACAACCATTGGGTGAGGTGATTAGGTTTGGGATGCTTTTCCCTGTTGAGAGATGTGGAAACGAAGACAAAATGACTGGATATGTAGGAGATTTGAGGCTAGATGCCAGGTCTTCCACCTCCCAATAAAAATGTTCTTTCAGCTGTCTGATAATTAAATAGCTGTTATCTGTTATAGGCAAGTGCAGGATTCAAACAAAGTTAACCATACAAAGAGAATGAAGAGGACTAGGACCTAATGTTCTTTCTGTCAAAGTTACTTGCTTGAGGCCGATTTCAGTTTAACCCGTAACTGCACGGACAGTGACCTGGAAAGGAGTTGGCTAGTTTCATTGCAGGAGGTCTGTTGAATTTGAAGAAGAGGCAGGAAACTGGAACTCTCTTGGGCACAAGCCTGTTTGGGCTTGATTTTTTTGTTAGGTGTTAGGTCTACTTTCTACCAGTTGAGTTAAGGCTTACGCGGGTAGTGGCAGGGCTCCGGCCTCAGGAAGGGTCTCTTGGGCTCCCCTGGCCTCTCAGGCTCCCTTTCCTGGGTCCTGACTGTGGAATGTGGGGACTGTCCTTTCTGCTGGGCCACCCATCTAGCTCTTCATAAGAAGAGCTGCTCTTGCATTCTGGCCAGAGCAGAATGATGGGGCCATCCCTTCTGGCCTCTAGACCCATAGAAAATCTGGTAGGGGTTACCATATTTGGAGTGACCCCAACTCTGTTTGTCCAGTGTTTGTGTCAGAGGCAAGAGACTGTTGACCCTGGATGGCATTTAAGCACTACTATTAGGAAAGGCCTAACTGGAAGACGGAGGGCCTTGGCTCAGCACTGGTCTCTTGCTAGGTGGTTTAGACTTGTGATGGAGAAGGAGTGAAGACACTTGCTCTGAGGGGACCAGCTTGCCCTGCTCACCAGTAGGACAGCATCATAGGGCTAGTGGCTTGCTCTCATTGACCTTTGGTTTCCATCAACCCTAAAGTGGGGATAATTATATCTACCTCAAGATTGTTTTTTGCTGAGTGGATATTAAGCCTTAGTATAGGAATTTCATGTGGCACAGTGTGCACAGTAAACACTCAATGTTATGTCAATTTTCAATTTTCACATTGAGTTTGCTAAAGAACAGTGTTGGATGCAGGTGCCCAGAGACTTGGAGTAGCCAGTCCTGGGGAATGTGGGTGGGCAGCTGCCACTTGCTGGGGAGGCTGGAGATTTGTCAAAACAGCCAGTGCTGGGGTTTGCTTTCCTCTGCCTGTATTGATGTCTCTTTGTGCACAGTCTGCCTAATGGAGGGAGTTTATTCATTTCCTTCTTGTCTTCTTCATGTGCAGCAGGGTTCTGGGGGATCCTGGAGACCCCTCTTTTTCTTCCTAGGCAGCTAAGATACTGACAGCAGGCCATTCAGTCAAGTTTAGAAAGTATCTTTGGGTTGAGATTTTGGTGTTTTCCTTATCCCCCCTCTGCCCCCAATCGTATTCAGTCATTCTTATAGCTAGGAATAAGTTTGGAGAGAAATAGAATTTCACAGTGGGGGAAGGGACCCTGGAGAACCCTTCTTCTAACATATTTTGCAGACAGCAGGATTCCAGGGAAGAAGGGCCTTGCCCCCGCCAGTCGGCCAGTACCCAATTCCTTGACTCCCTTCTCCATGGTCCATCTTGAGGCTTGCCATCCTTCCTGGGCTCATAAGACTGTTCTTCCAAACTCTTCTTGCTTTCTTATGACCTGACCCCATTTTAGGATCATTTTTACTGCCTTTCACTTGTCTTTTGTTTTGGATTTTACCTAAGTAGGCTAGATAGTGCCATCACTTCTCTTGGGTGCTGCTGGTAGCATTTGACTCACCGATTAATATGTTATTTTTTCACTGGTTTCTTGATTGTGTATCTTTCTTAGCAGCAGCACCCTGGGCTTGATGAAATTAGCTTTCATCAAGTCCTGTTTTTTTTTAATCTTGCATCTTTGTCTCTTTCTCGTGAACTCCATCATTTTGTGGTCTTATGGACCCTTTATCTACTCTGAAGTCCTTGCTTGGCTGGTTGCCTTCTACTAGCAGAAAGAAGGCAGGTCCATCCTATCTATCTGTGAAATGTTATCAACGCCCTCTCCTTCCTGGTTTATGACATCAACGCCCTCTCATTCCTGGTTTACGGTATCATCACTCTCTTATACCTGGTTTATGTTCTCTGACTTGGTAAATGTTTTCCCAGCAGAAATTTCTCCATTAGTGTCAAAATTTGGCCCTGGTGAGCAGCTTTCCTTGACGCTCTTGAGTTCCTCTGTACAGTGCTCTTAATCCATTTAGCTTGTTTGTGTTTTGTGACAGACATTTGCTTGAAGCTTGATCATTTCTTCAGTTTCATTTGTTTCTTTTTCTTTTTCTTTTTCTTTTTTAAATTTTTTCCTGAGACAGAGTCTCACTTTGCCGCCCTAGGTATGCCCTGGCATCACAGCTCACAGCAACCTCAAACTCTTAGGCTTAAGCGATTCTCTTGCCTCAGCCTCCCAAGTAGCTGGGACTACAAGAACCTGCCACAATGCCTGGCTATTTTTTTGTTGCAATTGTCATTGTTGTTTAGCTGGCCTGGGCTGGGTTTGAACTCAGTGTATGTGCCTGGCGCTGTAACCACTGTGCTCTGGGTGTCTAGCCTCATTTGTTTCCTTTTAAAAACGAATGCAATTTAAAATGCAATGCTTTTCAAAGATTAGCGATAGCTTGTGTAGGATGATGCTCTTTTTACAAAATCTTGATAAATTAACCCTGCTGCTATTCATTGCAAACATCATCCATCCTTTCTTCTTCCTCTTATTTTGTTTGGTTTGTTTTAAACTTTTTGTGCTGACGTATACTCATCACCCAGCTTCAGCAATTGGAATCATTCTGCCACCATATCTCTGCTATACTGCCCCACACTCTATTGTTGGCTGGAGTATATTAAGCAAATCTTAGAAAACACAGTTTTACTCCAGCATCTCTTCACTATGAATCCTTTTTTAAAGAACACAACCAGGACATTTTTTAATCATATTCCATGAAATTAACAGTGGTTCTTGAATATCTCTAATACCTTGTTAGAGATTGGAGACTAGAAGGCAAATTTCTATCTCTCAATAAGTGTTCTTTTCATTATTTGATTGTGTAAAGAATTAGCGTTCACTTTTTCCTGATTGTCTCAATTATGCCTGTTTTTATTGAGGAAAAAAATGCATAGCATTAACTTTACTGTATTTTAAGTGTACAGCTCAGCAGTGTTCAGTATATTCACATTGTTGTGAAATAGATCTCCAGAACTTTTCCATCTTGCAACCATGAAACTGGACCCATTAAACAACGGCCCTTTTCCTGCTCCCCCCAGCTCCCGATCACCAGCATTCTACTTTCTGTTTCTATGAATTTGACTACTTTAAATGTATCATGTATGTAGAATCATACAATATTTGTCTTTTTATGACCAGATTATATCACTTCACATCATGATCTTCAGGTTCATTCATGTTATAGCACATGGCTGGACTGCCATCCTTTGTAAGGCTGCCATATGATATTCCTTTGTATGTACACACCACGTTTGTTTATCCATTCATCCATTGAGGAACATTTGGGTTGCTTCCACTTTCTTGACTATTATGAAAAGTATTCTTTTTTTTTTTGAGACAGTCTAAAGCTCTTGCCCTAGGTAGAATGCTGTGACATCACAGCTCACAGCAACCTCCACTTCCTGGGTTCAATCAATTCTCCTGCCTCCGCCTCCCAAGTAGCTGGGACTACAGGCGCCTGCCACAACGCCTTGCTATTTTTTGGTTGCAGCCATCGTTGTTGTTTGACAGGCCCAGGCTAGATTTGAACCTGCTAAGCTCAGGTGTATGTGGCTGGCACCTTAGCTGCTTGAGCCACAGGCGCCAAGCCTATTATGAAAAGTATTGTGAACATGGGTGTGTGAGATTCTGTTTTCAATTTTTTTGGATATATACCCCAAAGTGGGATTACTGGATCATGTGGGAGTTCTATTTATAATTTTTTTGTGGTTTCCTCATACTGTTTTCCTTAGGAGTTGCACCAAGTGCAACCAACAAGTGCACAAGGGTTGCAGTTTCTCCGTGTCCTTGCCAATGCTAGTTTTCTGGGTTTTTTCTCTTTTATTTTTGGGTTTTTTTTTTTTTTTTGAGACGGAGCCTCAAGCTATCCCCCTGGGTAGAGTGCCATGGCATCATGCTCACAGCAACCTCCCAACTCCTGGGCTCAAGCAATTCTCCTGCCTCAGCCTCCCAAGCAGCTGGGACTACAGGCGCCCGCCACAACGCCTGGCCATTTTTTGGTTGCAGCCATTATTGTTGTTTGGCGGGCCCGGGCTGGGGATTCTAACCCGGCACCTTAGGTGTATGTGGCTGGCGCCTTAGCCACTTGAGCCACAGGCGCCGAGCCTATCTTTTATTTTTGAAGACAGTTTTAGTCCATCACCCTAAATGGAGTGCCATGGTATCATCATAGCTCATGGCAACCTTGAACTCTGGAGCTCAAGCCATGATCCCCTTGCCTCAGTTTTTCTATCTTTAGTGGAGATGGGGTTTTGCACTTGCTTAGGCTAGTCTCCAACCTCTTGAGCTCAAGCAATCCAACTGCCCCAGCCTCCGTGAGTGCTAGGATTACAGGCAGGAGCTGCTATTCCTGGCCAGCTTTTTTTCTTTTTGATAGTGGCCGTCCTAATGAATGTGAAGTGATACCTCACTGTGGTTTTGATTTGCAGTTCTCTTATGATTAGGGATGTTGAACATTTTTTCTTGTGTTTATTGGCCATTTGTATACTATCTTTGGAGAGATGTCTATTCAAACCCTTTGCCCATTTTTAAATTAGGTTATTTTATTTTTAGTTGTTGAAGTATAGGCATTCTCTGTGTATTCTGGATATTAATCCCTTAACAGATACATGACTTAAACATTTTTCTTCAACTGCCTTTTCACTCCATTGATCTTGTCCTTTGATGCACAAAGGTTTTGAGTTTGATCTAATCTTATTTGTCTTTCTGCCTTGTTGTCTGTGCTTTTGGCATCATATCCAGGAAATCATTGCCAAGTTCAATCACATAGCATTTCTCCTATGTTTGCTTGTAAGAGTTTTATAGTCTCATTTTTTAACTCATTTTGAATTAAATTTTTGTATGTGGTATAAGATAAAGGCCCAACTTCATGTTTTTCGCTGGTGGACATCTAGTTTTTTTAGCACCATTTGCTGAAGAGACTGTCTTTTCCCCATGAAGTGGTCTTGGTGTCTTTGTCAAATATCACTTGATACAGGGTTTATTTCTGGGTTTTCAGTTTTTTTCCATTGATGTGTTTGTCCTTTCTTATGCCCTTACCATGTTGTTTCGATTACTCTAGCTTTGCAGTGTGTTTTGAAATCAGGAAGTGTGTCTTCCAGTTTCATTCCTTTTCAGGATTGTTTTGGCCATTCAGGGTCCTTTGAAATTCCGTATGAATTTTAGGATGAGTTTTTCTATTTCTTAAAAAGAATACCATTGTAATTTTAATAGGGATTATGTTGAATCTGTAAATCACTTTCAATAGTATGG